CCCTGCTGCTCAGAGCTGGCATCCCAAGCCAACTCTTAACCAATGTGCCACTGGCTGGTCCTAACTTTTCTTAATGAACCTTTTCCCTAACAAACTATTTTGAGATTTTACTGGATGTATTATATTTAATTTGTAACATTTAATTATTATATCCTTGCTCTTTAGGCACGAGAATATTTAATTAGCCTTGATCCAGAGAACTTGACTATTTTAGAAAAAATTCAGAGCAGTTTACTAGTATATTCCATAGAGGATGGCAGACCACACATAACACCAGAAGATTATTCTGAGGTACTTAACTGTCCTGTTCTGTATGTCTTCCCACAAACACGAGAAGAAGACTTTTTGGTATATGCAGGCTTTTAAAACTTTTTCTTAGCTATGATATATATATGTATATACATGTACCACATTGAAGCATATATGTAGATAAATAATGCTTGGTTATCCTTTCCACGTTGTTTAGGTTTTAAATATATCTTGTATGTTGTTTAAAGAAGTGTGACTGTTTGCATATCACATGTCAGTGTTTGTCAACCTTTTCATTGAATGCACATACAGAAAATTTGCACAGGTCACTGAGTTAAAAGAGCTTGTGCGGAAGGTGACATAAGAACCTACCGATAACCCACACGTGTGCCTTGACACCTTAGTTGGTGAGGTCTGTCCTAAGAATTATATCACTCTACAATTATATCAAACTAAGTAATTTATCTTATCATTTGGTTTTATTGAACACACTGTAGTGAATTTAAGGATAAATGTGGCCTTACTTTGGTTTTTTTCCCCACGAGGGTCATGTTATCATTTTCTGGGAAATAATAAAAGGTTGTAGACATGTTTGTAGAAGTCTTGTAGTCTTTTAAAAATGCTTAGATTATTTCTTAATACATTCATCTATATTAAATGATAGGAATAAAATAATATGGGATTGAACAACCTTGTAGCTAAAAACCAACTTTTCCTCTTCTTTAGCTGTATTTTTTATTGTTTTCAGTAAAAGAAGTACCAAACTTCTTGAGGAATAAATGCTTTAATGCAGTTGTTGAAACTCTTTTTATTGCAGTCTACAGTTAGACATACATTTAGGTTGCAGCCCACTACACACACACACACACACACACACACACACACACACACACACACATGCCCACACATATATAATAGAAGTTTCACAAAACAGTAATTACTTTTACTATCTGTGATGTACTCTGATATTTATGTTTTATTTTATTCTTTCTTTTTTTAAAGATTGTTTACTGTGATGCACTCAGTTGAGTTCTTGATTTCAAAACTTACTGTTTGAAAAACAGGTCTAGCAGGATTATTCTTGAAATGTTTTCCTCGTAACTAGACTTTAATGACTAAACTTATCAAGGCCTCTTACACTATTCATAAATTGCAAAATGCTGTCCTTTCAATTTAATGATCTCTAAACATCCATGACTATTGTACCAGCATTCTATTCTATGGTAGGATTTCTTGAGATTTTAAGAAATATCTAAAATCAGGGACAGAATTATTATTATCTCTTGAGTGTAACTTATCATTTATTAAATTTGGCTTTCCTGAAGAGGAAAAGTGAGAAAATATATACATACATATATACATATATATTAATTTATATATATATATATATATATATATATATATATACACACATAGATACGTCTTTAACATATAATTATTTACAAACCAATATTAAAATCCTTTTAATTTGGAAATATTGTATTTATTTTAGATTACTGCAATGATCCTTATTGGAGACCCAGCAGTACGCTGGGGTGACAAGTCGTATAACTTGATTTCCTTTTCTGATGGATTATTTGGCTGTATTTGTGATGTAAGTAAACCAGGGAACTTATTTTTTTCTTTTAGTCTTCTAAGTTGATTTAATGGCAGTAAGGCAGTAAACTGTAATGCTGTGCTGTGGTAGTATGAGGAAACAATTCTTCAGTTCTATGGCGTTATAGTAAAAGGTAGTTGCAAATTCTCAGTGACAGTAGAGTATAGGACAAGTTATTTTCATCTGTATAAGGCTAACAGTTTGGTGTGTATCTGAAATGTGGAATTTGCATATATTTTTATATAGTAGAAGCTCTTTAAAATGTACTTACCTGTCTCTTGAGAATTACCACCTATTTTAAAAGATATTATAAAACATTATGTATATGTTCTATGCATAGAGAAGTGTATGTGGATATATTTCTAAGTTTACCTAGTAATTTTGTAACTATTTTCCTAAAATGACACATGATCTTTGGAACATTATTTATTTATGCTATGGATATTAAAATGTCTGGTACTTAATACCGTTTTTACCTTGATTAAAAAAAGAAAAAAATACTTGTTTCTCTTCTGTTCTCCCATGGCATTCCCTCTACCTTGCCATTTTTTAGTGGACATTCAGGTCAATAAACCAAGGAAATTTAAAAATCAACCTAAGTCAGAGTTGCCAGACACACTTATAATCTCATTATAACACTTTTCATCAAGTATGTAATTTGGCATAAAGTAGTATGAGGTAGATTTTTTGTTTGTTTTTGAGACTTTCCTCTGAAAGCATTCAGTGACTAAAATACTAAAAAGACCTGCTACACTGACCTGAGTTCAGTAGTTATATCACTTAGTGTTGACTTCCAGTGTCCAAATGCTTGCATTAGAAATGACTTGCCATTTTTTGGTACTACTTTCCTACGTTTGGCTTTATTTTTAGGTAGACTACCCACTGTGATTCTTGTCCCCACCATCTTGTGCCTCCACAGCTCTCTTCATAGAATTAGCCTTCCCTGTGGAATAGCCACCCTCCCAACCCAGTCAGGCTCCAGCAAAAGTCCGGGGAATAACGCTCATTGGTTGTGATTGGCGTGTGTGTCATGGGCCCATTCCAGGGAATCAGGTACTCTGATTCACCTGGTCTGGGCTACATGCCAAACTTTGGAACCTAGGAGGTAGAATCACTCTTACTCAAGCCACCACAGAGATATTTGGTGGTTGCCCAAAGAAAAATAAAATAGTTACTATCACAGAAGAAGGTGGAGTAGTTGATGAGCAGGTCATAAAACTAGGTGTCTGTTACAGTAGCCCATCAGAATGAAAGGTTGCCATGACTCATTTTGAATATCTGTTGTCTTTGCTCATCCTTGGAGTTCACTGCTGTCAGAATATTTCTTGTTAATTGCCTCAGTTTTTCTTCCACTCCTTGTTTGATTCTTCTTCACCTCTGAGCCTGGTTTATGTCCTCACTTTTCCCTGGAAACCATTCTCTGTCAAGTAGCTCTAATTGCCTCTAGTTTTTGCCCTCCATTTCTCCTTGATCTGTCTGCTCAGTTGATTACCCTCTTCATACGAACCTGACACCATCCTAATAATATCCTTTCCGTACCTGTTGATTCTAAAACTGACCTTAATATTAGTCATACTTGCCCCCCTGTGCCTGCTTTCTTCCCTGGTTTTAAGTTTCATTGGCCAGTTTTATACAGATTGCTTGCAATTATACTTTTCCAGTTTTTACTTATTCTCATTTTGATAGTTTTATTTCACGTATATTAAATTATTCAAACTGGATGCTGTATGGTTGCATGAGGGTAAGTTGCTCTTATCAAGAACCTATCATCTTGCTTCCCTCCCTCATTCCCACCCATTATGTTGATTTTTACTACTAGCACCAACACCCTGCAGTTTGCTCAAATTCAGGATGAAAATATCTTTAATGATCTTTTCTCTCTCTGAATAAAAACTATGGGTTCCATAATGAGCACACATCTCAGCACAGCTGAGTAGTTAAGTGTTGTATGGACATGTTTTATGTTTATGCATTAACACCCACATATTTATAAAGTCAATCCGATTATCTCTACTTGATCTGCTTTCAAAATTCCACATAGGTTTGTTTCCCTTGTAACCTAAGATGATTACAGAAAATGCAATTTAACCTATGTAAAACATGAGTAAAGCATATATACTGTAAAGCAAAGCTGTTCTTAATTCAAAGCCATGTTGCTGTTCTCTTCCATCGGTGCTTAATATGAGCTTTTGTATTGTACTAATTAATTGTATTTCCCTCTTGGGATTTAAAATTCTGGCGTCAATGAGTTTGTCTTCTCTATTTAGGCTTTATTATAGGGCTTTGTGAAGGGCACGTAGGAAACATATAATAAACACTTGTGAATAATAACAGCAGTTACTAATTATTGCTGTGGACCAGGTTCTATATATTAAGTAGTACTTTATAAGCATTATTAAAATCATTTTTCACAGCAGCTGTATGAGACTAGTTATTATTATCCATTATCCCCACTAACAGATGAGGAAGTTTACTTAAAGAATTTAGTGACTTTCTCACAGTTACACAGCTAGTAAATGCTGGGATTTGGACTCAGAACCAAAAGTCCACATTTTAAATGAAAAAAAAAAAAAAAGGTAAAACTTACATGAATAAATAAAGAATCAGGAAGGCATTTGAATTTTTTCTATTTCCTAACTTTTTTATTTATTAAGTTTATGGGAGTGACATTGGTTAGTAAAATTATATAGGTTTCAAGTGTACATTTCTATAATACATCACCATATATTTGACCCTCTTTTCCCTCTTCTGCAGCGCCCCTCTCCCCTTTACTCTCTGGTAACCACTGAACTGTTGTCTGTGTCTATGAGTTTTTGTTTCTTTTTCTTGTTCCTTTGTTGTTTTCAGTTTTATATTTTACAGATGAATGAAGTCATATGGTTCTTGACTTTTTCTGTCTGACTTATTTTGCTCAGCGTAATAATTTCAAGAACTATCCATGTTGTTGCAAATGGCTGTATTTCATCTTTTCTTATCGCAGAGTAGTATTCCATTGTGTATATATACCACATCTTCTTTATCCAATCATCTATTGAAGGCCAGTCAGTTGTTTCCATGTCTTGGTCACTATAAATAATGCTGCAATGAACATAGGGGTACATATATCTTTACAGATAAATGTTTTCAGATTTTTGGGGTAGATACCCAGAAGAGGAATTGCTGTGTCATATGGTAATTCTATTCTTAATTTTTTGAGGAACCGCCATACTGTTTTCTAGTGGCTGTACCAATTTACATTCCCATCAACAGTGTATGAGGTTTCCTTTTTCTCCACAACCTCGCCAACACTTGTTATTACTTGTCTTGTTGATAATAGCTATTCTAACAGATGTGAGGTGGTATCTCATTGTGTTTTGATTTGCATTTCCAGAATAGCTAGTGAAGTTGAGCATTTTTTCATATATCTATTGGCCATTTGTATGTCTTCTTGGGAGAAGTGTCTGTTCAGATCCTCTGCCCATTTTTTAATTGGATTATTTGTGTTTTTTTGTTGTTGAGTTGTATGAATTCTTTGTATATTTTGGATATTAGCCCCTTATTGGAGGTATTGTTTGCAAATATCTTCTCCTATTTGGTTGGTTGCCTGTTTTGTTTTGTTGAAGGTTTCTTTTGCTGTGCAGAAGCTTATTAGTGTGATATAGTCCCATTCACTTATTTTTATTTTTACTTCCCTTGCCTTTGAGGTCAAATTCATAAAATCCTCTCTAAACCCAAGCATATGTATAAGTTTAATACATATGCTTTCTTCTATGTAATTTATTATATCAGGTCTTATGTTTAGGTCTTTGATTGATTTTAAGTTAATTTTGGCATATGGTGACAGACAGCAGTTTAGTTTCATTCTTTTGTACGTGGTTTTCCAATTTTTCCAGCACCATTTATTTAAAAAGCTTTTTTTTTTCTCCATTGTATGTATTTGGCCCTTTTGTCGAAAATTATATGCCCATATATATGTGGCTTCATTCCTGGGTTCTCAATTCTATTCCGTTGGTCTGTATGTCTGGTTTTCTGCCAATACCATGCTGTTTTTATTATTGTCGCTTTGTAATACAAATTGAAGTCAGAGAGTGTAATACCTTCAGCCTTTTCCTTTTTTCTTAGGATGTCTTCAGCTATTTGGGGTCTTTTGTGATTCCATAAAAATCTGATGATTGTTTTTGTTCTACTTCTTGAAAAAAATGCCATTGGGAGTTTGATGGGGATTGTGTTCAATCTGTATATGGCTTTGGGTAATGTGGCCATTTTAACTAAGTTGATTCTTCCAATCCATGAACATGGAAAAGCTTTCCATTTCTTTGTGTCTTCTTCAATTTCTTTTAAGATTGTCTTATAGTTTTCAGTGTATAGGTCCTTCACATCCTTTAAGTTTATCCCTAGGTATTCTTTTTGTTGCAATTGCAAAAGGATTTTTTGTTTTCTTTTTTTGAAATTTCATTTTTAGTATATGAGAATGCAATAGATTTTTGTACATTGATTTTGTATCCAGCAACTTTATTGTATTTATTGTTTCTAATAGTTTTTTGGTGGAGTCTTTAGGGTTTTCTATATAAAGAATCAGATCATCTGCAAAAAGTGACAGTTTAACTTCTTCACTCCCAATTTGGATGCCTTTTATGTCTTTCTCTTGCCTGATTGCTCTGGCTAGGACTTATAATACTATGTTGAATGACATTGGTGATAGGAAGTATTCTTGTCTTGTTCCTGATTTTGGAGGAAAAGCTTTCAGTTTTTCATCATTAAGTATGTTATTAACTGAGGGTTTGTCATATATGGCCTTTATTATGTTGAGGTATTTTCCTTCTGTTCCCATTTTTTTCAGTGTTTTAATAATAAATGGATGTTGTATCTTCTCAAATGCTTTTTCTGCATCCATTGATATAATCATATGATTTTTATCTTTTATTTTGTTTATGTGGTATCACATTGATTTGTGTATGTTGAACCCTCCTTGTACCCCTGAAACGAACCCCACTTGATTGTGATGTATAATCTTTTTAATGTATTGTTGTATTAATTTGCTAGTATTTTGTTTAGGATTTTTGCATCTGTATTCATCAGAGATATTGGTTTGTAGTTTTCTTGTCTTATCCTTGCTAAGTTTGGGTATCAGGGTAATGTAGTGTTGGCTTCATAAAATGAGTTAGGAAGTATCGCCTCTTCTTCAATTTTTTGGAAGAGTTTGAGGAGGACAGGTAATAAATTATCTTTGAATGTTTGATAGAATTCACTAGTGAAGCCATCTGGTTCTGGACTTTTGCTTTTGGGGAGGTTTTGGATGATTGTTTCAATTTCCTTACTGTTGATCGGTCTATTTATATTTCCCAGTTCTTCGTGACTCAGTCTAGGAAGGTCATATATTTCTAAGAACTTGTGCATTTCTTGTAGGTTTTTTAATTTGATGGCATATGAACTTCATAGTATTTTGATATCCTTTTAATTTCTGTGGTATCCATCATAACTTCTCTTTCATTTCTGATTTTGTTTATTGGTGTCTTTTCTGTTTTTTCCTTAGTGAGTCTAGCCAAGGGTTTGTCAATTTTATTAATGTTTTCAAAGAACTAGCTCTTTGTTGCATTAATTTTTTTCTATTGTCTTTTTGTTCTCTATTTCATTTAGTTCTACTCTACTTTTTATTATTTCCTTCTGCTGACTTTGGGTTTCATTTTTTTTCTTTTTCTAGGTCTTTAAGATGTAATGTTAGGTTGTTTATTTGGGATTTTTCTTGTTTCTTGATATAGGCATGTAATGATATAAATTTTTCTCTTAATACTGCTTTTTCCCCACCCCAGTAATTTTGATACAGTGTATTTTCTTTATCATTTGTTTCTATGTATCTTCTGATCTCTCCTTTTATTTCTTCTTCGACCCAGTTCTTTAATAGCCTGTTGTTTAATTTCCACGTATTTGTTATTTTTCCCACTTTCTTTTTGCTGTTGATCTCCAATTTCAAAGCCTTGTGGTCAGAGAATATGTTTAGTATAATTTAAACCTTCTTAAATTTACTGAGGCTAGTTTTGTGTCCCAACATATGATCTATCCTTGAGAATGTTCCATGTGCACTAGAAAAGAATGGATAGTCTGGTTGGTGTTCTAGGATGAAAGGCTCTGTAAATGTCAATTATGTCCATTTGTTCTAATGTGTCATTTAAGTCTGATATTTCTTTACTGATTTTCTGTTTGGAGGATCTATCCATACTTGACAATGATGATGTAGGTCCCCTACTATTATTGTGTTTTTGTCAGTTTCTCCTTTAATTCTGTTAGTAGTTGCTTTGTATATTTTGGTGCTGCCTGATTGGAGGCATTTATATTGATAAGTGTTATGTCTTATTATATTGTCCCCTTTATCATTATGAAATATCCATCTTTGTCTCTTGTTATCTTTTTTATCCTAAAGTCTGTTTCATCTGATATCAATATGGCTACACCTGCTTTTCTCTGGATACCATTACTTGGAGTATCATTTCCCATGCTTTCACTTTGAGTCTATATTTGTCCTTGTAGCTCAGATGTGTTTCTTGGAGACAGCATATGGTTGGGTTTTGTTTTTTGATCCAGCCTGCTACTCTGAGCCTTTTTATTGGTGAGTTCAGCCCATTTACATTTAGGGTGATTATTGATATATAAGGATTTCCTATAGCCGTTTTATCTTTTGTTTTCTATTAGCTCGGTGTCTCCATTGTTTCTTTGCCTTTTTGTTTCTGTCATTTTAGTTTAGTAGTAGTCTATGATTTTTCCCTATGTTTCTTTCTTTCTTTTTTTTTTTTTTTGTTAGTGGTTACCATTAAGTTGACATAAAAGAAAGTTTCATATATACAGTGGTCCTTTTTCTTCAGCATCTTATCTCCATTCCCCTTTGCAAATTCAGACCTTTACCCTCTCCCTTTTCATGTTTTTGTTGTCACAAATTATCCCTATTTATGTTGTGAGTTGATTTCTGAGTTGCAGTAGCAAGTTGTGTTTTTCTTCTTTTTGTTTTTATCTTCTTTACCCTTTATGTTATGTTTAAGTATACAGTGCCCCATTCTGTGTAGGGGTTACCATTTCTTGCTTCTGTTTGTCTGTTAATAATCTTGCTCATGGTTTTGTATCTCTTTGTCTTTTCGTTTCAGTTCGAATAGCCTCCTTCAGTCTTTCCTGTAAAGCAGGCCTTGTGGTGGAAAATTCCCTCAGCTTCTGTATGTCTGGAAAGGTCTTTATTTCTCTCTTATATCGAAAGGATAACTTTGACAAACATATTATTCTTGGCCTATAAATTCTCTCTTTCAATAGTTTGAATATTTGATTTCACCCCCTTCTGGCTTGTAGAGTTTCTGCTGAAAAGTCTGATGATAATCTGATGGGCTTTTCTTTGTAGGTTACCATCTTCTATTTGCTGGCTGCCTTGAGAATTCTGTCTTTGTCATTAATTTTTGACAGCTTCAATATAATGTGCCTTGGAGAAGGCCTGTTGGGATTGAGGTAATTAGGTGTTCAGTTTGTATCTTAAATTCGAGGATCCAGTTCTTTCTGTAGGTTTGGGAAGTTCTTGTTGAGTATTTGCTTGACTATACTCTCTGTTCCCTTCTCCCTTTCTTCTCCTCCTGGGATGCCCATTATTCTTATGTTGCTCGTTCTGATGGAGTCAGATAATTCCTATAGCGTTCTTTCATTTCTTTTAACTCTCAGGTCTCGCTCGCTTCTTCCATCTGTGTCATTTCCAGGTTTCTATCTTCAGTATCACTCATTCTTTCCTTCTCCTGGTCAGCTGTATTTTCTAACCTGGCTCTTTCATTCTTTCTCTTTTATTGAGTTTTCAGCTCCAGAATTTCTACTTGGTTCTTTTTTAAAGTTTCAGTCTCTTTGACAAACTGTCCATTTGTTCGTTGATTTTGTTTCTGAGTTCATTAAACTGCCTATCTGTTCTTTCTTGCATCTCGTGGTTTTTTCAGAACTGCAATCTTGAATTCTGTCATTTAAGTTCCATGTCTTTAAGTTTATTTTCTGGAGAGTTTTAATTTTCTTTCTGAGCTGACTTTGTTACCTTGGTTATTCATGTCAATTGATGGATTTCTCTTCCTGGGCATCTATCTATAGGAGTGGATTCGACCGCGGGTTGATATGAAGAGGTCTTTCTTTTGCTTTCCAATAGGTGGCGCTGGAGCATTTTCTTTTCTCTTGCGCTGTTCCAGTTTCTTGCGTGAATGGAGGTTTCCTGGGAGGTGGGCTTCTTTGTAATAAGGTCACCTGGGTCTCGGCACCACCCATGTGGGAGGATGTGGTGGACAATGGGGTTCTGAGCCGAAAACCCTAATACTGCCCCTGTAGCCCGATGCAGAGCTTGTGTGTCTCAGTCGGCCTGGGTGCCCCGGCAGGGATCAGCTGGAAAGGTGGGGCAGGTCTGGCTGGGAGAGGTAGCAGGTGTGTTTGTGGCTCCAAGCAATGGCAACTTCTAGCCCACAGCCGTCTTGCCCCTACAGTTCCGTCCCTGTCACTGGAATTAGCTAAACTGGGTGTCTGCCGCTCCGGGACACTCTCCCCTGTTCTCAGGGCTGTGGATATTCTGCTCTTTAATCCGAAACTGCTACAGCTTATTCTGGGCCTGTTTCTAACCCTGGGAGGGTGGGGGGAGGTCGCCAGGCTCCATGTCTTTGTTTTCTGCCTGGCAGTGAGGGCTTAAACTGCAGTTCTCACCCTTCTGTATTTGGTCTCTGCCATGAATTCTTGGCCCTGATGGCTGGTTCAGCGGTATTATATGCTGATCCTCAGGCCACAGAAAGTGCACCTGAAGTCTCAGCCCTCCCCTCCCCCGGGACCACAGTGACCTCCAGGCTGCGGCCCAGTCTGCACCTCCTCCTTCCCTCCTTGCTCGTTCACCCCATTCCCCCATCTTCAGGTGATTTGATGCCCCGCTCTCTCAGTTGTGCCTGTGTGTTGCATAGGGAATCTTTTGTTGAATTGTAGCTGTTCAATTTGTTGTAGCTTCCAGGGGCGATTTAGTCTTCAGATAGTCTGCCATCCCCATCTGCTTTTCCATAGTGCTTTTATAATTCTAGAATATCTTAGAATTGCATACATATGCCTGCTTTGATTTCCAGTACAAATAGCAATTATTTTCTCTAGATGATTCATGCTTACTTTACTTTTGTCCCCATTACCTCAAGAGCCCAAATTAGGTGCTTTCAACTTTAAATATTATTTTCTCAGAATGAAATACAGTAGTAACTTACTATACTGTAGAATGTCCATATCTTATTAGGAGGTAAGGCATTTGAGGATTCTGAACTTTATTATGTGTTAAGAATGGAGGGAAAGTGAAAATAAAATATTGGGTCAAGTTTTAACTTAAACGATTCAAAATCTTGTGTATTTTCATTTTAGCATGCTCCTTTTGATGCAATGGTTATGGTAAACATCAGCCATTATGTTGATGAGAAGATTTTAGAGAATGAAGGAAGGTGGAAGGTATGTTAGAACAAATATTTCATCCTTGTTCTCCTCATATTTTTATAGCTATGAGATTTTTAATTCTCCCCTATTTTCAGGGTTCAGAAAAAGTACGGGATATACCACTTCCTGAGGAGCTTGTCTTCACTGTGGATGAGAAAATATTAAATGACATCAGTCACGCTAAAGCCCAGTATTTAAAGCAGGTAGATTTTTCACTTTTCCCTTAGCTAATATGCTTTCTCTTTTAACTACTATATATAAATATGTAGCTGTCATTTAAGCATGACAGCAGAACACATTTTTAAATTACAGCTCTAATACCCTTATTTATGTCTGATGATTACTTAATGCAAATGATAATTTGGTTATCTTTGGGGTATTTTCCTTAGGTGATTTTTCACTGTTCCCATTTAATTCTTTTTCTTAGGCATCTGATCTACAGATTGTGGTGCGTCCCTTTAGATCTTTTGGCAAACAGCTAACCAAGAAGAAGAGGCTTCATCCTGATACGTTTATTCAGCTTGCACTTCATCTGGCCTATTATAGACTTCATGGACGGTGAGCACCACTCGTTTTCCATCCTCAGAATCTTGGAATCCATAGCTCTTTCTTCCTAACTCCCAGTGTTTTCTCCTACTTTTTCCCCAATTGACACCATATCCGAATTTGTACTTCCATCCACAGTAATTCCAAAGAATGCCAAATTTCGATCTGTGACACTTTCAAAATCTTTCCTTGTGTTTCATCACCTTAATACTTTCGAAGTGTCTGCTCTCTTCTAAGAGGGGTTTTGCTGTTCTTTGGAATTCAGATCACTTGGCTTTCCTGCAGCCTCAGTTTTCAGATGGGGTTACGAAAAGGTATGAATTTGTAGATTATCTAGTCTTTACTCATATTTAGGATTAGAAGAAATGGTATGTTGTGACTTTTTACATGCTAAGCAGAAGTGGAAACTCCTTGACCTTGCTTGTTTTAATCTAATCTGAGAATATCTGGGATGTTCAAATCCTTTACATTTAACAGAATTATCAGTAAGGTTCGGTTTAAGTTTACCATCTTGCTATTTATTTTCTCTTTATCACATCTGTTTTTGTCCCTTCTTTTTTATCTTCTTTTGAATACATAGTTGTTTTTTGCCTTGTGCCTCTCTAGGTTTTTAAAAATAATCCTTTATTTTTCAATTACAGGTGACATACAACATTACATTAATTTCAGGTGTACAGCATAGTGATTATTCATTTATATAACTTCTGAAGTGATCACCCCAATAAGTCTAGTACCCATCTGACTCCATTCATAGTTAATTACAATATTATTGACTATATTCTTTATGCTATACTTTACATCCCCATGACTGTTTTATAAATGCCAATTTGTACTTCTTAATCCCTTCTCTGTTTTCACCCACTCCTCCAACCTCCGTCCCATCTCGCAACCATCAAAATGTTCTCTGTATCTTTGAGTTTGTTTCTGTTTTATTTGCTCATTTATTTTGTTCTTTAGATTCCACAAATCATACAGCATTTGTCTTTCTCTGTCTGTCTTACTCCACTGAGCACAGTACTCTTCTGGGTCCATCCACCTTGTTGCAGATGGCAAGATTTCATTTTATTAATAGCTAATATTACATTAGCCATACATATGTACCACCTAGACTTTATCCATTCATCCATTGATGGACACCAGGCTGCCTCCACATCTTGGTCATTGTAAACAATACTGCAATGAACATATGGATGCACACGTCCCCTCAAAGTAGCGTTTTGGGTTTCTTCAGATAAATACCCAGAAGTGGGATTACTGGGTCCTTCTTTGTCTCTTGTTACAGCCTTTGTTTTAAAGTCTGTTTTGTCTGCTATAAGTATTGCTACTCCAGCTTTTGTTTTTTCACTTCCATTTTCATGAAATATCTTTTTCCATCCCTTTACTTTCTGTCTGTATGTGTCTTTCAGTCTGAAGTGAGTCTCTTGTAGGCAGCATATGTAAGGGTCTTGTTTTCTTACCCATTCAGGCACCCTATCTTTTTTTTTTTTATTGTTAGTTTCAGGTGTACAGAACAATGCAATAGTTACCCTTTTCACCCTCACAAAGTAACAACCCCCCTCCCCCATCTA